AACAGACGGGCATCAACATTTCTGTTAACTCATCCGTTTGGATCAAAGGTCGATAGAGGGGAGTTTCCATGTATATTCTCACGCCGTTATCAAGATAAAAGTTACTACAACCAGGTGAATAGAAGTATATATGCATAGTGACAAGCAGCAAATTAACAACAGGTAATTCAGCAAGTAGCACGTCGTTGGGGCCAACAGGAGAGTAAGATCAACAAGTCGAAATCCACTCCATTCTCCAAGTGATGGAATCAATCAACATTCAATCAGCTTGTTTATCCTGAACGTTGTACATCGAAATGCCGCTCTATGCAATAAACAGGGAGTTGTTATCACGTAAGTGGTATGTTTCGTTGTGTATCCCCATACTGTTTACTGCAGTATAAGTAAGATCTGCTTCACTTTGCGAATGACTAATCTTTTGAAGTTGATTTAAGTTCTACTTTAGTAAACTGCTACCTAACAGGTTGATCTCAGATTAAAACATCTCTTTCCAAATTCGTGTTTTCTATTTCAGGTACTAAGAAATACTGAATTTTTACGTATTAGATATACATCTATCGGTACCAGTTTGACGTGTCTGGTCATGAGTTAACTAACATAGTGATTATATATTTTTAACCATTACATGTGTCATTCACACGTCATTTATGCCATGATAATGTTCTCTGATCCATTTCATCATACAGCATTTATTTCATTCAATGTTTTGAAGCTCATATGAAAACATGAAAAATGTTACTGTTCCAGTTCCTTTTGAAGAGTGAAAGTATTATTGTTCCTCAAGTCTTCCAACCAATATAGTCATTATGGTTACAAACGACCTGATTTTAATACCTATCAAGTTAGCTGTTATACACGCGTGCATGCTCACACACCCACACCCACACAAAACATCCGTAATTTGTGAATTCTGTTCGGACGATAAAGAAATATCTAATTTGATCAGAATCAGTATATGAATTATCTTCCCTTACTCTGAGAGAAGCATGGCATTATTCGTTCATTTTTTAATAATTTTATCTGGTTAAAAGAAGGTATTATCAAAACTGTGAAACAAACTTGCGTATACTACCATATCACTAACATTGCGATATTGACCATGGAATAAATGTTAAGTTTAGTCTGTTTTCAATGTCATAATATGTGAGGTTCCTCATTCACACATACATACAAACTGACAGCATAACACAAAACAATATGCAACCAACCCAATGTAATACAATACAAGTTTCACCGCCTGTGCATACCACACTGTTGACGAATCTCTCAGGTGTGTTAGAGCGATAATCACACCGCGACATGATTAACAAGCCTACAGCTCAGCAGATTTTAATAACTTACCTTTTTAATAAGAAAAGCAAGATTTATGGATGTCAACTTCTTTATTGTGAATAACACGAAGTTTCGGAGCATATGCTTGCTCCTTCATCAGGTGAAAATCAGGTCACAGTAATGCATTCCACTTCTTAATGCCCATCAAAGATTTAACTTACTTCCAGAGGCTTCTTTAAAGGTGACATGCAACGTAAAACACAACTTTGCAGATTCTGATACCTTTCGGTATGGACTTACCGAAACAAATCATCAAAAAATGCAAATTCAAGTTATAAAGTTGAAAAATAACGCGATGAAAAAAAAGCGCGAAATCGGAGTTCAAACGATTCACTAATTTTCCCCCCGAAAATTTCGGGGGAAAACGGGTTTCAACAGCTGGGCTGCGCTCATAGCATGTGCGCAGTGAAATAGGTTCGCGCAACTTGGAAGCGGGCTGTCTGGTGGATACTCGTTGAAGGCTTTGGTGTGAGCTATTTTCATAATGTTTTGTTGATATCTCACAGGCGCGAGCTTTTTTATATGTTATGACAGTAAATAAACTGTTTATATAATTTCATATGTCTATTTCCCCACACGTTCTTCTTACCGAGTCACTTTCTTAGTTCGATACTTAAAAGCAATGTCATTATTTAGCGTTGACAGAATTTCTAACTGTGATATACTATGTAGATATGTCGTTGTCACAGACAAAACTCAATGTCTTGTTTTATTGACACCTGTGTGTCTGCCTGCCTGTCTGCTAATGACAATATTCAATACAGAACTGCGATCACTGACCACATGCAATTTGAACTTAACACCAATCAGGCTATACACCATAAACAAAACGCATTGATTTATGGCCCGCGTTCAGTCTCTGTCACATTATGTAATTACACAGACAGGCAGGTGTGATACTTGAACACATGACATGTTATGATGTCTGTTGATTTCAAAATGTTATACACAAAAAATGAGCATGTATTTACAAAACCCAACATCTCTATATATACACACACAATGAGCCGTGAGAGCCTTGTTAATTGGTAACTATTAACTGCCGTGACTCACTCATCAATCAACAAGGGATTAGGTCCCTGGGCGTGCAAATAACAATGATTTACCATCACCCACCAGTTATCTCCCCTTGTGGACATTTCCAAAATTGTAAATCTTTGGAAACATCATCTTTCCAAAATTGGAAATGTCTTGTAAACATGGACTTTTTTCCAGTGTTTGGGCTTACTTCCTGAAGTAGGATTGTCTGTCCCGTAATACATTCCGTGATATAACTTGAAGCGGGTAAAATCCAACTCACTCACTCACTCACTCACTTACTCAGTAATCTAAGAAGTCAGTCGTGTTTTTTTCGACTGGGACATGATCTGCGGGCGTCTGAAAACAGAAACAGATACGAAAACACGTTTGAATTAAAGGGTAAATTGCCCATTGATTCTGATTTGGAACCCATGAGTGGATAAAGACTGGAGACGAAGATTCCATTAGATGCCATGTTTAAAAGCTTGTGAGTGCAGAAAAAACATGAGTTAGAGAACGAACTGCCCTGGTAGGCTTTCAACTATCTCGTACAGTGCATCTACAAGGTTTTACAGCCCCATAGATATCTTTGGTAGAGGAAATTGTGGTTGAAGATGTCGTAGAAGGAGAGAGGAGTTGGCGTTGCTTGCGGCAAGTTAGAATTTAGAAGTTGGGTACATACTCGAATGACTAAGCATCGGAAATTATCATCCTCGGTCACCAAGGGAAGGGTGTTGCGGGCGGGGTTGTTGGGTAGCAGGATCCTGAGGCTGATTGTTGGTTGGTGGGGTTGGGTGTAGTCGTGGGGTTGGAATGAGGATCAGAACGGTCTGAAGGGGCACTTTATTGGCGGTTTCAACACGGAGACTCCGAGCCGACAAGGTCTCGTTCTAGCCCATTCTGCAAAGCGCATTTAACGCCTGATAGTACGACAGTGCTAGTGACAGTGACAGTGCGACTTCCCGCTCTCCGGACAGATGTGTCCACTAAACCTAAGGACCGTTGTGGTCCTGAGTTGGATTGTTTGCATGTTGTTAAACGCCGCACTCAGCAACATTCCAGCTATACAAAGGCGGTCTGCAAATAATCGAGTCTGGACCAAACTATCCTGTGTTTGACATCATGAGCATCGATCTACGCAATTGGGATACGACGACATACATCAACCGAGCCAGTGAGCCTAACGTTAATCGCCTCTCACGATTCAAGTTCCAAGACGAATTCTACGCCGCACTCAGCAATATTCCAGCTACATGGCGGCGGTCTGTAAATAATCGAGTCTGGACCAGACAATCCAGTGATCAACAACATGAGCATCGACCTGCGCAGTTGGGAACCGATGACATGTGTCAACCAAGTCAGCGAGCCTGACCACCCGATCCCGTTAGTCGCCTCTTACGACAGGCATGGGTTACTGAAGGCCATTATTCTAACCAGGACCTTCACGGGTAAAGGCTTTTTAGTCGAAAGCTTGTCGACAGTAACTGTTGAGCTGTCTTCCCTTTGATCAAGACATTTTGTTTGTTGTTTAACGCCACACTTAAGAATTTTCCAGCTAATGACAGCCGTCAATGAATACTCGAGTCTGGACCAGACAATCAAGTGATCGATATGATCACCCGATCACCAAATCGAGTCAGTAGCGGCTTACGAGAAACACGAGATGTTGGAGACCAATTCTAACCAGCATCTTCACGGGTATTGATGTTATAGCTCAGTTTTCATTGCGCAGACTGTTTCCCGTCGCCCCTTTCAAATCAAGTGATCTTAAAACCACGACTGTCCTAAGTCCACGTTTACGTAAGGGCGGTACGGTCTTCGTCCGTATATCGCTTTGTGAATCCGGGCTCCAGCCCTTGGGTATTGCAGTGCGGTCACAATGTCTTATCTGTGCACATCTCCCGAAAACAGCTTCATCTAAGACCCGTTTCACTATATCGTAGTTCTCATACATTTTCATCGACTGACGATAGTCGTATCTGTGCGATCGCTTCGTGAAAGGAAGCCCAGTCAGACTGCAATGTCACAATTCTCCACGCAGCGGTAGTAACATACTGTTCCCTGTGTGAGATCCCGAAATACACTGTATGGAGCGGCAAGGGAGAAAACTGCTGAGACAACATGTTGAGAGCCAGTAAAAACGGGCCTAGAAAATCCCACATCCTACTGCGGTGCCTTTAGATGACGATATTAACATTTATTGATGTCCCCCTATCGATATGGCCAAGTAGATACCCGATCACACACTCCCGTTCCCTGATTTACAATCAATAAAGTAGCCATAATCATATCGTTCCATTATTTCCGCTAAGTGTCTAAAATGGAATAGGGACTTGACAACCGTTTTCAGTACTTAAATATTTTCCATATTGCGACGTTTACAAAAACGCCATCTTACGCTCGGCAAACAATTCTGTCATAATTCCTGAATATTTAATATTTGAACGCCAGCAAGCTTACAATAAACAGACCAAATTGGTGTCATTATTTACATTAACTGGCGATTCAAGAGTGTCATTTTGTTCAAAGGGACATTAAATTCTATTTCCCTTATCGCAAACTCACCTGGCATGGTTGTCGGGACAGATGGGCTTGAATATGAACGACTTGCGTCGAATTTCTGACAATAATTCCATTTAGTCAATAACTCCTTCACGCTAGCGGCTAATGCTGTCGTGAAGGCCTGCACATAGTCCGATCGATACCATCGTAAGTCGGTTCAGTACTTTACACTGAAAAGCAATAATCATTACCTGCCTGAAACCATGCGATCACTCGAATATACTCAGCAGCCAAAGAAATGCATCATAAAAAGGGCTATTTACATGTAGCGTATGCTTTAACCGCAGAGGACTTTTTCTCGGTCAAGCGAAGAGAATGCCGCTGGTTGAAAATAGATGTATACTCAGTGGCATAAGAAACGCATAATAAAATGTTGGTGGTGACGATATTTATTGGTTGGTACCTCTATTCAAAGCAAATGCGTTGTTAAATGAATTTATAGTTGATAAGTTCTCCCATTATGTCTATTTAACATTAATAAAAATCCTGCAACAGTTTGTAAAAAAGCAATCTATGGCTGGATAATTTTGTGTAAAATATAATTGCCTTAAACCCTGGCTCCCGAAACGAATTTGCAATTGCATGCCCCACGTTTGTAATGTACTCTTGTGTCAAAAAAAATGAGAACATTATACATTTTCACACATAGAGATACCCCAAAACAGTTGAGAATGATGCAAAATTTCGTGTTTAAATTTTGTTGAAAAGTTTTAAGTCATATAAAATTTACAAAATAAAACCATTTGGAAGTCTTTTGGAAGTGTTTTATATAATGCCGCTAACTTAAGATATTTTCAAATGAACATAAAATATATTAAATTGAGTCACTCACACCAGGCCTGATAGACCAGGCCTGCGTCTTCTTAGAATCAACATGACGAAGCGCAGATCCTGCAAAACACACTCGACATGTCTGGCGTGTGTTAGGGCTTCAACATGATAAAGTCTCAGAGACGTGAGGGGCGGTGGGGGTACCTTTGTGGTTTAAGCGTTCGCCCGTCACACCGAAGAGTCGGGTTCGATTCCTCACATGGGTACAAATTGTGAAGCCCCCTCCATGATATTGTTGAAATATTGCTAAAAGTGGCGTAAAACAATACTCACTGACTCAATCCGTTTGGCAACTTTGATGGTTTCCAGTGTATTAACTTATTTACCTGTTCAAATAAGATGAGATTATGTAAATATTTCAGGCAAAGAAAACAACGAAACAAACTCACCTTCATTAAAGAACCTAAAGAAGTAGGCTTGCACAGTTGCCTCCCAGAACTGTGCCAGGATTCTCTTCAGTAATGATCCTTGTCCTTGCTTCTATCGCTATACCTGTTCTCGTGAGGTTAGGGACGGTGGGGCAGCCTAGTGGTTAAAGCGTTCGCTCCTTCCGCTCAAGACCATATTTCAAAATTCGAACCACATTCGGGAGAGAATGTCAAAACAAACAATTTTTTCAAGCTTTGTAAGAATGTGATACCCAAATGCTATCTGACGTTTCAGTGACAGGTGGCCACGTTTTTATGCGTTTCGGCAGTGTTCTGATGACATCAGGGCTCATTTAAAGAGCATTCGGGACGTTCTGAATGTAATCCAGGTGTATTCGAGGTACATTCAAGCTGTATTCCAACTTCAATCGAAATATTCCGATACATTTGAAAAATATTCCACCTGAAGCCCAGCAGCAATCGAGATACATTCCGACTCATTCGAGGCACATTCGAGACATTCTGACAGGATTTGAAGTGGCTTGTCTTTTCTGTTTCCCCTCGAATATGTGCAGAAAACTTAGAATGCAGTAAGAATATTTAGAATGTAGTTAGATTGCAGTAAGAATACTTAGAATGCTGTTCGAATGCACCTCAAGTGCCGTTCGATATTCGTCCACTTCGAATGTACCTCGAAAGTTTTGAACATGTTCGAAACATTCGGGCATGTTACAAGAATTGACCCGAATAGTTGGAATGCATTCGGAATGCAGTAAGAAGTTTTAGAATTCAGTTCGAATTTCCAGGACTCTACATAAATTTTCATTCCGACAACATTCCAGCCCATTCCGCCTCACGTGTGACGCGGCGGTCTGTAAATAATCGAGTCTGGACCACACAATCCAGTGATAAACAACAGGATCATCGATCTGCGCAACTGGGAACCGATGACATGTGTCAACCAAGTCAGCGAGCCTGACCACCGGATCCCGTTAGTCGCCTCTTACGACAAGCATGGTCGCCTTCTGTGACAAGCATGGGTTGCTGAAGACCTATTCTACCCCGGATCTTCACGGGTCTTTGGATTTGAGAGATACTTCAAGGGTGGTGTGGCAAACGAAGCTAACCATGTTATTTTCCCTGCTGTGCTGTTTGCTAACAAATGCTAACTGCGGCGTAAAAACACACCCACTAACAAATAAGTAGCTTATAGCCAAAGTGACTTGACACTCCCAGGAGGTGAAGATTTGTCTGTTGTTTTTGACTTCGCTGTCTAAGCTGATAAAAGCTCAGATGGTGTCCAGTGAGGAAAGCTCATACAACGCAACACTTGGGAGACAACGAGACATCATTCTTCTGATGTTTGTTGCCCATAACATTATGGTTTGTAAAAACCGGTTCATATACACATGTTATGAGAATATGTATTTATGAATACAGGCCCGACGAGAAATGCAAATTTCCAAAAGTAAATCTAAGAAAAGTCGTAGGACAAGTTCACTGAAAAGACGGGGCGGTGGTTTAGCCTAGTAGTTAATCGCCCGCTCGTCACGCCGAAGACTTGGGTTCGATTCCCCACATGGGCACAATGTGTGAAGCCCATTTTTGGTGTCCCCTGCCGTGATATTGCTGGAATATTGCTAAAAGCGGCGTAAACCCTATTCACTCACTCTCAAACCATCATGGTGAAGCGGTGCACATGTAGCTCTTGCTCCACGTGGTAGAATGTGATAGAATGTGAAGCGGTGCTCATGTAGCTCTTGTTCTACGTGGTAGAATGTGAAGTGGTGCACATGTAGCTCTTGCTCCGCGTGGTAGAATGTGAAGCGATGCACATGTAGCTCTTGTTCTACGTGGTAGAATGTGAAGTGGTGCACATGTAGCTCTTGCTCCGCGTGGTAGAATGTGAAGCGATGCACATGTAGCTCTTGTTCTACGTGGTAGAATGTGAAGTGGTGCACATGTAGCTCTTGCTTCACGTGGTACAATGTGAGGCGGTGCACATGTAGCTCTTGCTCCACGTGGTAGATGTGGAGTGGTGCACATGTAGCTCTTGCTCCACGTGTACAATGTGAAGCGGTGAACATGTAGCTCTTGGTCCACGTGGTAGAATGTAAAGTGATGGACGTGTAGCTCTTGCTCCACGTGGTACAATGTGAGGCGTCGCACATGTAGCTCTTGATCCACGTGTGACAATGTGAAGCGGTGCACATGTAGCTCTTGCTCCATATGGTAGAATGTGAGGCGGTGCACGTGTAGCTCTTGTTCCACGTGGTAGAATGTGAAGCGGTGCACATGTAGCTCTTGCTCCATATGGTAGAATGTGAGGCGGTGCATGTGTAGCTCTTGCTCCACGTGGTAGAATGTGTAGCGATGAACTCGTAGCTCTTGCTCCTTGTGGTAGAATATGAGGCGGTGCACGTGTAGCTCATGGTCCTCGTGGTAGAATGCGAGGCGGTGCACGTGTAGCTCATGGTCCTTGTGGTAACACTTGAGGCGATGCACGTGGAACTCATGCCCGTCGTAGTGGAATAATCGGCTGTGCAGGTGGATCTCGTGACTTCTTCATTGGCCTTGGTCGACTGCTCACACCGTGTTTAGAACACTATCGAAGTGCCCATTTAATATTGCTGAAGGCAGAAGAGTTTACTGAATGGACTACTTGAGTACTTCGTTCAAATCTTGAAGTGAACGTACAAAAGATTCTGTCCCACCTTGAACAGTTTCGTAAGTAAATGCAATTATCTGCATGTTTATTTCTGACCCGTGAAGATATGGGTTAGAATTGGTCTTCAATAACCCATGCTTTAAAGATTCGACTAAAGACATCGGGTGAAGGACTTGGATGCCACGTCATCGTATCTGGATTACGTAGATCAATGTTCAATGTCAGTGATCAATGAGCAATGTGTTAATCACTTGATTGTCCGGTCCAGGCCGGATTATTTACAGACAGCCGCCATATAAATGGAATATTGGTAAGTGCGGCGTTAACCAACTAACAAACAAAAGTTAATTTTAAATTTGATTTGATACAGCCGTCTCGACAAATATTGATATTTTGCATGTATTTTAAGAAGTGATGTATTCGAAACAAAGCGATTACAAGTTCACTGAAAAGACGGGGTGGTGGTGTAACCTAGTGGTCACGTCGAAGACTCGGGTTCGATTCCCCACATGGGTGCAATGTGTGAAGCCCACTTTTGGTGTCCCCGCCGTGAAAGTGCTAGAATATTGCGGCGTAAACCCATATTCACTCACTGAACGCCTCCGTGGTGTAGTGGTTACAGCGTCCGCCCGGAGAGCAAAAGGTCGCGAGTTCGACCCCCGACCGCGCCATACCAAAAGACGCTAAAATATGGTACTTGTTGGTCCCTGTCTGGCGCTCGGCATTAATGGGTACAACAAGGACTGGTCGGCTCGGAGTCAGTATAATGTGTCTGAGTGGGGTATTCATGCTTCACTGCGGCATGGTATCTCAATGGGCTAGCACAATAAAACCAGCTTCACTCTGGTCTATTACAAGCAGCCGCACATACACATACACACGCATGCACGTCGTCATATGAGCGAAATATTCTCAAGCACGACGTTAAACCCAACTTCACCTCACCTCACTCACTCACTCACAATCTATCTACCTACGTTTTCATCGTAACACATTCGAATGAAAATTACAATTTGTGGGACAACAAAAATGAAAAATCGGTTCCGTCTTACATACAAGGGAAAATATATATAGTCTCAGCAGGACGTCATTTATGGCTTAATGACAATCTAAACACTGCATAAATGCCCTGCTGTCGAGCCATAGCTAGCATAACACTAAAGCTGATAAAGCAAATCAACATCTTTGACAGCGTTGAACCAACTAGCATCACCTCCGTCAGGTTTCTAGTGAAATATCTCAGAATATATTCATCGCACCAAGGTTACACATTGATGTAAATCTGAAAATAGCCCAGTAAAGCTAAAATTGACACCAAGTACGCAAGCAGGAATGAATAACGTTGGTTTCACGGTGAAAAGCAAATAGTTTTCGACTCGTCGCTATCGCACTGGATGACAGGAAAAGTAAAGATAAAAATATTGAACTTGTAATTGACTGACAGATATAAATGCCAGTCCCAAAGCCCTTTAATAAGTTCAATCAGGCTCAAAATATAAGTTAAAAGTGCTAAAACTCGCCTAAATCATGTTTATTTGATGAGTGAAATCCCATTTGTTCAGCGAGAAAGTGTGACTTGCTACATACCAATTCAGCTTAAGCATAGGCACGGTTTACCCCGTGTGCCCTAAATGTTTAAAGAACACGAACACCCCTCGTGTCTTAGATCAGCAAAAGATCTCAAAATAGAATGGAATCTCTGTCCCCTCCATAGCTCTTACAAAAGATATTATAAGATACGGTGACCTGCATAAAAACGGTTGCAATGAACTCATGGTCCTTTCTGAGAAATCTCTATTAACCTTTTTGAACGCATCCCCACAGTGCTCATTTCCAACGTCAATCTCTTTCTCCAGGTTATTAGCACCTGCCAGTCATGCGCGAAATCAACACGACAGGGGCCAACTCAAAAGTTTTAATGTGATTTTGAAAACCTATTGTCGTATTACTTTGTTGGAATTAGGTTTTTAATGATGTAAAACCACATAACGTAATCAGGGAATACCACTGGTACTACTTCTATTGCTCCCGGGGGTTGCTGGGGTGGCCTAGTGGTTAAAACGTTCGCTCGTCACGCCAAAACCCCGGGTTCGATTTCCCACATGATTACCAACGTGATATGATGTGTGAAGCCCATGTGTCCCCCGCCGTGATATTGCTGGAATATTGCTAAAAGCGACGTAAAACCATACTCACTCACTCACTCACTCACTCACTCACTCACTCACTCACTCACTCACTCACCCACCCACCCACTCACTCACTCCTCACTCACTCACTCACTCACTCACTCACCCACCCACCCACTCACTCACTCACTCACTCACTCACATTATTAGATTGGCCAAGCTATAGCCCTGACCTATATCCAATAGAAATGTTTGGGGACTTATGAAGGAAAGGTCAATAAGAAAAATCTTACAAACATTGCTGAAATGAAAGAAGAGGTGGTCCGATATTGGGACAGCATGGACCACGACTTTCTAACGTCTTTGATCAGTAGTATGCCCCGCCGCATTGAAGCCTGCATTGCTGCCCATGGTGACTTGACAAAATACTAACTGTTCACCTGTCTTTGAATCTGGAGTTATGTTCTGCTAATATTCACATTTAATATGTGAGTAATGAGTGAAAATTTTAAAAAAAGTACAATCTTTAAATTCTCAATAATTTCTGGTTGTACTGTTTTTTTCATACTTTGCAATGGCTTTATTAAGCTACTTCCTGGTCTTCCATAATGTCAGTGACCTTGGCTTCAGCGTGTTATATAAACTGAGGTACAAAAGAAAAACCGTTACATCTCGGGTGTTTTTAATTTGTTTACGTTCAGCTGGAAATATCTGAAGTTGTATGACATCCAACAGATAACTTTAGAAGCCAGCACTCAATGAATACTTATCTACGGTTCTGTATTTTGAAGTATAATTTGTTTTTGAACTTTAAAAATAAACCAAAATCGCATAATCCACACGTGCTAATGGTATCTTTGACATCTGTTCTTCAACTATCAATAAAAGTGTTTTCTTCGACACAAATTAAAACGTTTTGCTCAAGGCAGAGTCATTTGTTACGGAAAAGGGGCGATGGGGCACCGTCACGCCGAACACCCGGGTTCGATTCATCAATATGGATGCAATGTGTAAAGCCCATTTCTGGTGTCTCCCGTCGTGATATTGCTGGAATATTGCTAAAAGCGGCATTAATCCGTACTAACTCATTGTGATAATTTATCTATGCACAATCGACGATCATTTCTAATACTCTTACATGAATTAATGATGGTGAATTAGACAACGAAATTTAACAACAGTACTTCAAGTTTTTCATTTCATTAAAAAACGAGCTTGTTTACATTTGTGTGCCATTCACTTCATTCGAGTATTTTCTAACCTATAATATAGGATCGATTACTAACAATAGCGGTATAACGGGGACTTAAATCTAATAGGATAGATAGGACAGAGGCCCACTGATTACAGTGGAAGTAAAGTGACCGGTCTGGGTTTGATAACAAGGAGATGACGAGGATAAGAAGATAACAATAAGGCAATCACGCTTGGGTAATGACAGGCTATAGTTTGGAGGGGGCGCAGCCAAGTGGTTAAAGTGTTTGCTCCTCGTGCCAAAGAACCGGGTTCGATTCCCTGAGTACAATGTGTGAAGCTCTGTTCCGGTGTCCCCCCGTCGTGATATTGCTGGACTATTGCTAAAAGCGATGGAAATCCAGTATTCATTGTGATAATTGGGGCGTTGGGGTGGCCTTGTGGTTAAAGTGAATACTCGTCACGCCGATGACCCTGGTTCGATTCTCCGGATACAATGTGTGAAGCTCAGTTCTGGTTGCCCCCGTGGTGATATTGCTGGAATATTGCTGATAAAAAAACTGGCAGAAAAAAAACACATCTTTATTCACGACTATTCGGTACGTATCTACCCTGGAAGAACAATGGACTGTGCCATTGTGCA